CCCCAGGCCGGTTTGAAGAGGGAAGGGAAGCCATGTGAACATGCCTCATCCCACTTCCACACACCCCCCAGTACCCCCTGTGACCCCAAGTGGTTGTGAGGGTCTCCCCCCGAGTGTGCTGGGGAATTAGGAAGGAAACCCAAGCAATGCAAGAGGATAGCATTTCCCCCTCAGTATAACTCTCATAATGAACCGGGCCGTAATTAATGAAATTATTTTCATTGACGAGAATTAGAGAATAATATCAAAAACTTATTAACTGAAGAGCGCTCTGTGAACACACATACGAGTTCAGAAAATAAAGGTGGTAGCTTGTAGAGACAGAGAGGGGAACCTTTTTATGGGACTGTAGTTATCTATCCAAGGAACAGAGATCCGAAAAGAAGGATGAATGAAACGAACCAGCATTCCACTCAAGGGAGGAGGTGTACCCATCCTTGCTTTGGGGTGTAGGTTAATGGATGCCTAGATACGCACTCACATACTCTTTTGGTATGTCTAGATATTTATTTATTTAAATTTCTACCCCGCCCTCCCCTCGAATGGGCTCAGGGCGGCTATGCACACACAAACCCCTTGGAGCATGATGTATTTGCTCTTAGAACAATGCTATGATGGCTATAGTGAAATAATGCTGTCTGAGTGAGGAAGCTTCATAACATTCCCAGGAATGGCGAATGCCATGTAACATTCATGTGAAAATGTCTATTGTGTGGTGACCTCTAGCTGCCAGGGCAAGGAAATCATTATAAGGAATGTTATGGGATTAAAATGATTTTTGCTAGGGATTTAGGATAACCAGGTAAGGAAAGGTCAGGCAAGGTACGGGGTTGGTTAGATTGACTGCCTTTTCTGAGAAGTCAGCCTTTGACACTGATGGATCTAAAGAGGGAAGGGGGCTGCCAGAACCCAGACCCTTTCACAGTGTACCTTTAAGACCAGTTTTTCAGATAAGCCTCTGGTCAGTATTTGATGGCACACGTTCCATGTGACCGCAGGACCTATGTTGATCCTGTTTTCAGACCAGGAAAGAGTCTTGAGTGAGTGGCCCTGTGAGATGCTGAGAAAGAAGGCTGCCGGCGTCACCCTTTCCTAGGTACCAGACTCCTCCTTCTAAGGGAGGAGGAGTCCAGGCATAATACTGGGCATCAGCTCTTGTGCGCAGGCACACAGGAGCTTTAATTAAGCCTTGTTGGCCTTAAAGGTGCCCCCACGGGACTCAGACTGTTCTGTTGCTTTGGACCAGCACAGCCACCTCCTTGGACCTGCCTTCACGGCAGGCGCCACACTCTTGGTGTTGTAATTTCTGCACTGCTTATTGTGTCATGTTGGTGCTTCTGCGGTGCTTCACTTTTTTTCTGGTGGTTCCATACTTCTAAAATCGTGATGCATCAGCTATGAAACGTCCCATTTTGTTGGTTGTACTGACTCACTATTTCTCACTTTGAGAAATGCAGACAATAACATAAATAAAATGAATTAAATTCTGTCTTCCGTTTTCTCCTCACAACAGCCCGTGAGGCTGTTTAGAAGAAGAGGAAGAGATTGGATTTATACCCGGCCCTTCACTTGGAGTCTCAGAGCGGCTTACAAGCTCCTTCCCCTTCCCCTCCCCACAACAGACACCCTGTGAGGTCGGTGGGGCTGAGAGAGCTCTGACGGAAACGGCTCTTTTTAAAGGACAGCTCTGACAGAACTGTGGTTTGCCCAAAGTCATCCAGCAGCTGCAAGTGGAGGAGTGGGGAATCAAACCCAGTTCTCCCAGATGAGAGTCCGCACACTTAACCACTACACCAAACTGGCTCAAAGGTGCCAATTGAAGTTGGCGTTGTGTGACTGGTGCCCAGGCGGCTTCCCTGGCAAAGTGAGGGATTTGAAGCTGGGCCTCCGGGATCCCAGTCTAACACGCCAACACTCCAACCACTGCTACACGTGACACCTCTTGTTGTGGCACTTCCCCAGGTGGGCAGGGTGCAAAGAGGTTGTGGAAGGTTAAGGGAGCCAGAGGTACCCTGGCACAAGCAGGAAGCAGTTTCTGTGGACCTCCCTCTCAGCTGCCTCTCCCAAGCTTCTTGGGTGGTGCAAGGAGCTGCAGAAGACAAGGCAAGACCTGCTCCCTGGGTGCAAACAGTGTGTTTCCTTGATGATGTAACACTGAGATGGGGAGGGAGATGAAGAAGAGGAGGAGGAGGAGTTGGATGTATGCCCCGCCCTTCACTCAGACCTTCCTCCCCTTCTTCTTCCCACAATAGACACCCTGTGAGGTGGGTGGGGCTGAGAGAGCTCTGAGAGAACTGGGACTGACCCAAGGTCTGGGGCAGATAATCAGATCTCTCCCGCCAAAATTACTCGGAATTTAACTTTAGCAGGATCATGTCCAAACGGCTTCCTTATCCGAAGAGGATTCTTCATCATTCTGTCCCTTTCCACTCCCATCTTTTTGTTGATTCTGTTCTGGAGACCATCTATCGGCTTCTGCCACATCTGTGCTACTTGAATTCAATTGTTTTCCCCTATTGAGGATGTGCCTCCTTTGCAGTCGGTGCTCCTCCTGTCTGCTGTGTGTCATTAACAGCCCAGAATATTGATTCTCTTGTTTTAATAGCGAGAGTGGACTCCAGAAGTGGTGATTACAGGGCATTTCAGTAGTGTACAAGACGTGAGCTGGGACCCAGAGGGAGAATTTGTCATTACTGTTGGTTCTGATCAAACAACAAGAATCTTTGCTCCGTGGAAAAGAGGGAACCAACCAGAGGTATTTCTTCTTTTTTTTGCAGGCTTGGTAAATAGCATGTAGCAGTTGATCAGATATTTTCCAGTTAGTGAGGGAGATGAGATTGCGGGGAAAATAAAAACTACTATGTTTAGGCTTGAAAGCTAACTGTGTCAAAATGTGAAAGAAACTTCAAAGGGACTAGAATGCTAACATGGAAAAAATATATACTTCAACTAGAAATGTCAATTACTCAGATATATCTGTTCCTTTCCATCTTTATTTTTTCTCTTTTATAGAAAATAGATAAATATTAGTATATTATAGATAAAATGAAATATAGCAGATAGGATATAGCTAAATTAGTTATCGGGAATAGAATTTTGGTTTAAAGGTATATGTAATGAAATATAGCCAAAGTAAGGGGGAAAGTGGTAATCTGCGTATAAAAATGATGTTGTGAGCGAGATCTTTGGCTAGATATTTTAAAATGCACTGCTCTTTCTTTTTTTTCTTTTCTGTAATATCTAAAAAACTAATAAATTTTGCCCACACGTGGGCAATTAAAAAAAAAAGATATTTTCCAGCAGAATGTGAAGCTTGAGCAATCATTTGCATCTCAGATGTCCTAAAATGCGTTTGTGCTGTCTTTTGATCTGTACTTTGCTATAACAATATTGCCACAGTATCACTTAGGAGTAAACATTGTGCTAGAAGGAGTTTTTTTTCTCAAAATAATAAAGGCCTGTGTTTGTTGACTTCCAGCTAGATTTAATTGCATCATTGCTCCTGTAGCATTCTGCTGCTTTGTCCTGCTTCCTGCTCAAGAATGTTAAAAGAGAGAGGAGGATCTAAAGTTAGCATGGAGCAGTAAATGGGTTTAGCGTGGGTGGCTTCTGCTCACTGGAGAGAATCCCTGGTACTTCTAAGGAATTTTAGTTCTTTGTTGGAATAGGAATTCATCCCCATTTGTTGGCTCTTTGTTGTTCATTCACTTCCAGAATGAATAGTCTCTGACTGTGCCTCTAAGTATGGGTGAAAATTAAATTTTTAGCTAAACATCATGGCCCTGGCAAAACTAGAGCAGAGTCTGGATCAATGGAACTAAAATTGATGGATACACTTTTTGCCTACTGAACGTTTGTGCTGTCTTTCCTCAGAGAAGCTTGGGGACTGTAGTGTGTGTGGATTCTCTCTCTTCCTGGCAAAGCCCTTTCCATATTTAGTGGTTCAGGATCTTCCAGGGAGTTCCATGGCAGGGGGGGGGGGGGTGGGGGGGGGGGGGGGGGGGCTTGAACCTGGGTCGGTCTGATCTGACTCTCCAATCTGACTGCAGAATGAGAGATGGGTGCTGCACGTATCAATGCAGGTCGTCCTCTCAGCTTGTTGCAAGCTAGTGCGAACTATTCCCACAGGTAACGTGGCATGAAGTGGCAAGGCCTCAGATCCACGGGTATGACATGCAGTGCTTAGCCATGATTGGGCGATTTCAGTTTGTCTCTGGAGCCGATGAGAAAGTACTTCGAGTGTTTACTGCGCCTAGAAATTTTATGGAAAACTTCAGCAGCATTTCTGGTGTCTCTCTGGAGAAGCTGTATTTTGGTGTAAGTGTATATTTACCTTTTCATAAGAAATATTGAAGCACCCTGCACTTTATAAATTGAGAATCCTCATTTGAGATTTAGCTGACTCTTGGAGAATTGTCGCAGTTTGTTTTTGTTAGGAAAATGTTACGGACTCACCTTGATCCCACAAGCACCTCTGTCTGTCTGTAGTATAAAACTGTGGTGCTTGTAGCTCCGTTGCCTGTGGGGGGAGGGAGGGAGGGAAGGAGAGAGATGGTGTCTTTGGGGCCTAAAAAGCTGAACATGTAATTTAGGAGACAGAAATACAGAGACTGAGACAGGTAAAATTCATTTGGATTTTTCGAGTAGCTGAGATATTTTGTAATACATATTGTCATGTTGAGATTTCTGACTCACTGAGGACCCCACACCAGTTTTTCAAAGCACATGAGAGATAGGACACCATATTTACAAATGAGGCTGAGGACCCAATGGCTTCTGCAGGCTTTTATTTATTTACTTATTTTTGTTTTTTAGCAAATGATTGATCTTGCAGAAGGTGCCACTGTTCCAGCCTTGGGCTTGTCCAATAAAGCTGTCTTTCAAGGTGAGGCATTTTGTCTGTCTGTGTGCATTAAGCACTGTGTTGTTCAGGTAGATGTTGATGAAGGGGTGGGGTGGGCGAAAGAGTAGGCTTTCTCCCTAGTTTGTTTTATGGATATATGATTTTTGTTTTATTTATAGCTCATGTTTCTTGCTAAGGCTATAGGCACTGTGACACAATGCAGCCAAATAGTACGAGATGCCCAACAAATGACATCCTCAAACTAGGATCACAGAAACGAGAAACATTGCCAAGCAAGAGTATCGGACATGATATGTCGCAAGCGGTGTAAAAAGAAAAGCATTACCAAAGTAGAAAACCGTGCAACAAGGGCATGGTCATACATGGAATAAACGGTGGAGCAGACCTCCGTCTTAGCTGGGCAGTGGTCCAGAATCTGGGCTCTGCTTCTCAGTCCAAAAGGAACCAGGTTTTCAGCACCCCCCTGTCTCTTCTTGGGATCTGGTTTACTTCCTGGTTCTGGTCTGTGCTTGGTCTGTTGCCTCACCAGAGCCAGGCCTGATGGAGCGAATCAGTCACAACAGCAAAAACACACGTACCTCCTTCAGTGCTTCCTCTTCCAAGAGGTGCCTCCTGCTTTCCCTTCTTCTCTGAGAGGAGCCATGTTGGGTCTGCAGCGGAAGAGCTCAGCCCAAGTCCTTAGAGACCAACAAGATTGGGGGGCTTCGACTCTTGGAATCTCCTACCCTGGAAACGTTGTTGGCCTCTGAGGTTCTACTGGACTCAAATCCAGCCCTTCTACACTGTGGGCCTGTTCCCCACCGTTGGTCCCTGTTGGTCCCTGACCACGTATTGCACTTAATGGCTACGGTATGAACTGGTGACTCGAATTCGTGAACGAGCTGTCAAGGCCCGATGCCACATATGAAGGTTTTGTGTTGCTTATTAGAATACATCTACGCATTTGGTGGCACGACATTAAACAGTGTCCCTGAGTTAAAGGCTAAAATATTCTGGGACTAATTTGGGATTCTGTTTGTCCTAAGTGGCTGCAAAACCAGATTTATGGAGTTAATAACTTGTGATTTGAGGCTGCTGAGTAGACTTGAAATGTTTACTACTCTGAAAAAAATTATTCTCTCAGCTCCCGTTTGTCCGTCACTCATTTTCAGCTTCCCTTGCAGCCACGAGCAGTTGCATTCCTAATAACTTTTTGACTCCCTATTCCGTGTACATTAAGAAGAAGAATCTGCCTGGGGAAATAGTGGTTAGATTCTCAAAGAGGCATGTGAGGGATTCTATCCTGAAAGCAACTACAGGAACACCCTTGAAAATCGGGGACAATACCATCAGGATTCTAAAAGACATCCCATTTGAAATAAGGCAAAAGAGAAAGAAATATAAAGACTTAATCCTTTTTCTACAAACAAACAGCATTGCCTACAGATGGTTAATTCCAGAAGGCATCATTTTCAAAATACACGATAAAAAAGAAAAGATTGACTCTGTTCTTAAAGCACGTGAGTTCCTGAGATTGCAGCTGGGAGAGACAGCCGAGGTCGAGAAGGAAGAAGATGACAGTAAATCCAGTGGCGAATTGGAATCAGGGTCTTCCGACGAGGACTCTCTTTCCGATAAGGGGGCAGCTGCCCCCCAAAGTGCATAAAAATTGAGGATTAGAAAAGACAAGACAAAATGAAGGCTGAAGGACTCTGAATTGTGCCTTAAAACTTTAGTTTTATTATGGGATGCTCTGGGGGTTCTCTTAAACAGTTAAATCAATGGATAAAAAGATAAATAATTTAGCATAACCGACTATGTTCAAAGTAATACTAGCAATTTAAGATTAACATTTATATAAACTGTTGTGATGCTCTCCTATACTTGGGGGTTTAGTTATTAGTGGTTTTCTTTCCTCTCTCCCTAGATGTAGTTACCCAGTCCCAGTTTTTCATTGTAGTTTGTAGTCTATTAAAAACTGCAATACAAAATACCCTCCGGGGGGCCAAAAAAAAAAAGGCCTGACAGAACAGATCCGTTTTGTGGGTCCTGCAGAATCGTAATAGATCCCGCAAGTGGGAGAATGTTCCGCCAGGTTGGGGCCAGAGCCAAAAAGGTTCTGGCCCTGGTCCAGGTTAGGCAGATGTCTTTTCGGCTGGGGAATGCCGGAAGACGATGTTCAGATGAACATAAAGCTCTTTGGGTTCTTCCACTTTCCCCTCTGCCGTGTGAATTGACATTTTTCCAGGTCCTCTATTAGCTGGTGTTTTGAGGCACAAACATTTCTCTTACACCGTAACATTTCCTGGGCCTCCTCACAATGGGTAATTGGGTTATAGAACCTAGACTTTGTTTGGATAATTTCTGTGTAATGTTTTCGTAGCTATTCCATCTTTTCCATGTTATTTTTTTGCTGATGTTTTAAAAATCTTTTATGGCAGAGGACACAGCAGTTCAGACGACGGAAGAGGAGGAAAATGTGAATCCTTCCAGTCAGTATTGTGAGAATTACTTTCAGCCACGTAGCCTTACAGGTATGGAACATGATTTGTGTGTAGTTTGATTTCTGAAGGAAAGTTTTGGAATCGAAATGGAAGAGAACAGGGGAATAAAATCTGGTGGGGTGAGAAATCCCCCCCCCCCATTTCAATCCAATCATTTCTTGCAGAACCTCCCACGGAAGATCATCTCTTGCAGAACACGCTATGGCCTGAAGTCCAAAAACTGTAAGCTACTTTGGTTTTAGAATACGGGGGGGGGGGGGGGGGGGCTGTAGAGAATA